ATATATATATATTAATACTAATATACATATATATATACTACACTACACACACACACAACTATATACTAACTATATATATATATATATATATATATATATATAACACACACACACACACATACATACATACAATATATATATATATATATATATATAGATATACAATATTAATAATATATCTGAATCTCTACAGTGCACAAGAATGATAGGTCAAGCAGCAAGGGACCTACCATGATACTCGCATAGCTGGGTGTGAGCGACACCTCAAAGCCCCCATAGCCGTACAGAATGGTGGGTGTACTACCATCCCGCGGCATGCCTTCTTTGCCTGAATGAGAATGAGTGTAGGTACGTACATAAACTAAACACGAGATGATAGTGTGCCAAGACGTAGACATACATAGATAAACAGAGAGTGCGTATTCATGGGCGTGGATTGTGAAGGGTTGTATATGCTTTGATATATAGTGTGTGTCTTGTATGGCCAATGGGCAGTGCGAGTGCATCCATGAATAGTACACACACACACACACATATATATATATACATATATTCATACATACATATATACAGACACACACACACACACACTAGTATGTATTGAGTGAGTATATGTATTGCTCGACTTTCTTGGCCTGAGTAGAGTATATATGACGCGGAACTCGAGTAGATAGAGAATGAGCTTTGTACTTCTGAGAATATAGTGGGCCTGTATGTATATGTGTACGTGTACGTGCATGTGTGTGAGCATGGATATTGTATACACCCTTTCTCGGTTGTTGACTATAAAGTATGTGCACACATAGCGTGTGAATACGGATTCAGAACGCACTCGAGTGTATGTGTGTGCATGTACACCTATGACCGTGTAATACATGCCTGACTAGCGTTCGTATACACCAAGCAAGCCCAGACCAATCTGCACCATAAGCCCACAAAACAGATAAACAACATAAGCAAACCCTAAAACCTTGAGCCTTAACCTACCAGAACAAATAGACCCAACACATACACATACCAACCACAAAGTACGGTACTTTCGTTCCATCAGCGCTCGTGGCGAACATCTGCTGCACACTCAGACCGTCGGCGTTGAACATCTGTGGCAGTTGTTTCATGAACTCCATGTTCTCGGGCTGGGATGGATAGGGTTTAGGGTTTTAGGGTATTATGGTTAGGGTTGAGGGAGACAGTGAGTGGGGGGAGGATTTTACAGTGCATGTTAAGGTGCACGTTGGTAGGTAGATGTATCTGTACTACTGTGTGTTACAGTAAAATGAGATGCGCTTCCATATGCAGCTGCGGGTAGAGGCACAACCCCTACCCGTGTGAAGGTGAACCTGCAAATAGCCAGCCTTCAGACCTGCATTGACATTGTATGTGTTCGTGACATATATGTATGTATGTACACAACGACACACACACATACACACAATTTATGAATATATATAATTTATCTATACATATTTGTGTATGTGAATATAACTATCATCTTTTATCGTGACATCCGCGTGCTCCTATACACATAGGAGCTTGCATAACCTAATATTACACAGTCTATGCAAATAAGTACACAGTCACAGTGGAGTATACATATACATATTCACACATCCATACGCTCCTGCCTATATGAACACATATCTATAGGGTTTTAGGGGTTGTACACATATGTACACATATCTATACGCGTATGCCTGTGAAGGCGACCACCGGGCAGTACCATCACGCTATATCTTTCTCCTCTAAGACTAACACATGTAACATCTCCTCTAAGACTAACACATGTAACAAACAATCAGCAGTTGTAGTTATCCGATGTACTCACCTTCTTCAGAGAATCACGTATCAGTACAGAAGCTGAACTATACATATATATATATATATATAGTGTCTACATCTATCTATATCATGAACATATAGTACCTACATCTATCTAAACATGTATATATAGTACCTACATCTATCTGATCCCACGCAGCATAGGCAACTCCTACCTTTGCGCAGTCAATGCCATGCCACACAATCCCTATAGAGTATATATATATAAACAGAACACATATGCATGCGTCTCAAGTGTACAGATATAAACATACACCTCGGCATGTGACTAAAACGCATAAATATAATATACATACACCTCTACATGAGACTGTAGTGTACCTATATCAACATACACGCTTTGTACGTTGGTGCTATGCATGCGTATCAAGTGTACAGATATAAACATATACCTCTACATGAGACTGTAGTGTACCTATATAAACATACATGCTTTGTACGTTGGTGCTATGCAGGTGTCTAAAGTGTTCAGATATAAACATACACTTCTGCATGTGACTAGAATGTATAAATATAATAAACATACACTCTCTACATGCTCGAGTCTATATCTATGACTTGTACCTCCACACACAATATGTCCTCCTATCTACCTTAGTGCAATCGGTACCATATTCGGCAATGTCTGCCTGATATAGCGTGGACGGAGCGGTGAAGCTGCTGGTAGTGAACCAGAAGGTGTCCACAGTATCTGAGTCTACGGGCCTGAGAGCGGTGAATTGGGTATGAAGTCAGTCTGGTTGGAGTTAAATAATAAGTGGTGATTTATATACATACGGTATATACATACGAGTGTTTATATTAAAATCATACGTATGTATGTATATACATACATACATACATGCGTATATACATACACACTAACTCACACTTACATATACGAATATACTTGTACACACACACACAATATATATATATGCATATGCATATATTGTACGAAGGTGTGTATTGTAATTTTAACCTAAACCCTAAAAACCCATCCTCGGTATATTAGTATTTAAAATATGTATACAAAGGTGTATTGTAGCTCAAGTGCACCCTTTGCTGCACCGTCTACACTCTCTGTATTTTTTTGGTATATGTATATATTACATACATATCAATACATACATACATACATACATATACATACATATACATACATACACACACACACACACACACACATATATATATATATAAATATATACATTTTATATGTACAAATTTTATAATTATATATATATATATAGACATATGCATAACATACATACACACACACACACATACATACATACACATACACTACTGTTCAGATACTTATATGTTAACCACACCTGCACGAGGACGACGCAATCTGGGCCTGGCTCTCCTCTCCAACGGACAACCACTTGCCTTGGTCCCATTGCCAGAAGGCGAGTTTAGTCTTGACGTCTTCCAGCATAGTGACAAGTAGGTAGTTCTTGGTGCCTCTCTTTCCCTCTAGCGACCGGTGGTCTGTGGGCGTGAACAGTGTAGTCACCAAACCCTCAGCGGCACAGTCCTCAGCGCCTGGAGAAGGGGCGAGGAAATACGGTAGACGGAATAGGATGGTGAGAAAATAAGGTAGATGGAATAGGATGGTGAGAAAATAATGTAGACGGAATAGGATGGTGAGGAAATAAGGGAGGTGTGAGAAAATAAGGTAGACGGAATAGGATGGTGAGATAATAAGGGAGGTGTGAGGAAATAAGGTAGACGGAATAGGATGGTGAGATAATAAGGGAGGGGAGCTTGCTATATGATGACACATAAGCGCTATCGATCTCTTAGATACACAGTGGTCACATGCACATGACACCGCGCGACGGAGACTAAGGACCTGAATGTGCGTAGGGTTTAGGGTTCTAGGGCAAGACGGGGACTAATGACCCAAATGTGAGGTGTGAGGGCACCTTGATCGACCAAAGATACTCAGAGCAGCCCACGTATACTAACACCTACAGTGTAGGGTGTAGGGTTTAGAGCTCTAGGGCCCCGCACCCCAGGCATTCTAGTGAGTACATATTGACAGCTACTGGAGTGACACTTGTTTTTGACAGCCCACTGTTGTATAGAGAGACATACCACCGTAGTCACGCCACCCCGCTTCCAAATATGGACAAAGAGTGAAGGCGGTCTAAGGCATGGAGGGTAAGGACCCAACCAGCGATGCGTGTATATAAAAACCCAGTATGTATATACGTACAAGATAAAAATCCTGTGACTATATATGTAAAATATAAAAACCCTGTATTCATATATGTACAAATACACTAAGAAAAAATGTGCGAAGCATCCATATGGGAAATATCTATATATATATAGAAACCGATACAATACATAAAATATATAGAGATAAATAGAATATAAATTTTTATATGTAGGTTTCCATATACAAAAACAAATAAAATATATAACATTATTTGTAGGATTCCATATACAGAAACAGATAGAATACATATCTTTATATGTAGGTATCCATATATAGAAATAGATAAAATCTTTATCAAGAGAGCGTCTCTGGGCACTTTTAGTACAAGTACACTACCTTTGTCTAGAAAGTTATCCAGATCGACCGCCAAAAGGGATCCCGCTGGGTGTCCCAGGTACTCTGAGCGGTGTTCTATTATTAGCTGTGACCCAAATAAGGAACAGTGGGCGTCCTCCGGAATGTCAACATCCCGCCAACCATCCAGCCCGTTCCCATCTCCAGCCGAAGTGAGTGTATATGCACCCTGGACGATATATGAGCAGATCAGAAGACATAGACGTAAGTATACATGTGTAAGAGTATATACAAATACATAGAAAAACAAAAACTATTTTCACACAGGTGTAAAATGGTATAGGCCGATGCCCCGGCGACTCTCTTCGCTCATATCGATGAGGACTTTAGGTGTCTAGGGTTCGTGGGGGTTTTCAGGGTATGTAAGTGTGTCGTACTAATCATATCCGTTGGGACAAGAAGGAATCGTGTTATAAAACTATACGTATATATACACGATGAGCATAGTTATAGTTACATACTCATAGTTATACATATGTATAGGAAATTTGGTGTATACAAAAATCAATTCAGCTGGAATAGCATACACTCATTATATATATATATATATTTATATATAATTATGCATACATAATATCCACACACACACACACACACACAGACGCACACACACACACACATATATATATATATTCAAACATATGAATCCACACTTATATATATAATATAATATAATATATATATATATATATACATATGACTATGCATATATTATATATATGACTATACATACATTATATATATGACTATATACACATATATATATACACTCCATAGGCGGTGCATCCATGCGTGCATAGTCTGGTGTACGTACGTTGGTGTATTCACCAATTAATTCACCTGAGACAGCATACACTCATATGTATTCTCACTCGTATATAGTAACGTGCATATATATGTATACGCATATTCATATACGTTAACACACACACACACACACACATTTATATATATATACACATACACATACATACATACATACATACATACATATATATATATAGTATCTCTACTTATGCCAACACATACGTTCTCCATAGACGGCGTGAGCGTCCTAATGGATTGCTTGGACGTGTAGAATGTCATAGAGCGGTGTCTCCATTCATACACTCGGCCGCCTCGACTGCGCTGATCACTCACAGCCCCACTCACCGCCACATCCGCCTTCTCACCCGTGTACGTCACCTGGGCTTCAGTTAAGGGAGTGCCTCGTCTCCACTCCATGACAGTTCGAGGGTACCCGCTGTCAGTCTGGCGGGGGTGAGTGTGGTGTGGGGTGGAAGGTGAGTGTGGTGTGGATGGTAGGTGTGGTACGTATGTTCGCAGGAATAAACCAAATGTTAACGGGAATATACCATATATTCAAAGAAATAAATTTTCACAGTGTTATACCATACATGCAAAGAAATAAACCTTGTATCCATAACAATACACCATACATTCATAGTACTATCCCGTACATCCACAGTAACAGACCATACATGCATAGCAACCATTTTACCTACCTGGCTATCCCCCCCCACATCCGTGCCTATTAATACCACATCGCGTCCTTTGTACTCTGCGCGGGTCTTTGCCTCAGGTGCGTAGAACGGCTCAAGCGACAGCAACGTATCATCAGCACTACACACACAGGGGAGATGATGGTATATAGTTACGTATGAGTGTCTGTTGGTCTAGGGGGTTTACTAGAAATATATATACATACACACACACACTTATGTAGATATATTTTTATATTTACACATACATATACACATATATATACGCATAATTTAC